ACACACACACACACTCACTCACACTTACACACTCACTCACACACACACACAAACACACAAACACACTTACACACAAACACACACACACTCGCATCTGAACTCAAAGGGTGTTTGTGCAGTGTCCATCAGTCATTGTTTCTCCTCTGTGTTTTTCATGTAGGATCCGTGTTCAGTTTGCTGCTGCAGTATTATGAGTGTGTGTGTAAGAAAACTACAAGAGGCAAACCTCAGGAAACACTTTACTGCTTCCTCTCTGAGCGCCTCTGACCTCTGACCTCTGACCCCAGCAGCTCGGACACGCTGGGCTGTTTTCTGCACTCGAACGTCACTGTATGTGCCTCAATAAAGCTGTTTTAAATGTCTGTCAGCTGTTTGTCTTTCAGTGTGCGCTGAGAGCAGATGAAACCTGGCCCCGCTGGGCTCCGTATCGACTGGCTGCTCGCTGGCAGAACCCAGTCTTTGTAGCGTACGGATTTCAAACGCACATCTGCGCTCGGTGTGTCGGGCTTCTCTCTCTTCTGCTCCCTGAATGAGTTTGACCTTAGAAACGACGAGCTCATACAGTCACTGAGCGTCAAACACTCGCCTGAGCTCAGCCACAGAGAAACAGACGGATTCAATCATCACCTGCTTAACAGTTCTGCCCTGACAGAGAAGATTAATCAAGTCTTTTTAAAAGAGAAAATCATCTGTGATTCCAGTCGGTTTGTCTGGAGAAGTCAACGTTGAGCTTGATTTAGATCTCAGTTTTTCAGAATAAGCTGTGTGTGGAAGCAGAATAAACGGCTGATCTAGTGTTTAGTGTGCAGCTCTGAAGCAGATCTGCTTCGGTGTAGATATGTTTATTTTTTACGTCTGCTGCATTAGAGAGGGTGCATAAGTGGTATTCATGCCGTCTTTGCATCAGTCATTCAGTTAAACAGATGAATTCACATTCAGTTAAACAAGTGGTGCAGATTTAACACTGCATGACATCTTTATCTGTAATGTTTTATCCTGCATGTTTTTTAGTAAACAAAATAAATATTAATTTAAAATTCCCATTATGATTTAAAACAGGCATAATGTTTGTATTGAATCAGTGAATGGAAATTAAAAGAGAATAAATCGCACAATAATTCCAGATTTATAAAATACACATGGGCCTCGTCTTCACAGAGACTCACATACACACTCAGAGATTTAGAAATATTAACAAACAGAGACATTACAATCTGTGATTTATTAGTGAATCTCCACAGACACTCCTGCTCTCTCTGATCCTGATCCGTGTTTCTCTGAGACCGCAGGACTGATGAACAATCGTGAATAAGCTGAGACGCGTTCTCTTGTTGTGAAGTGTGTGTGAACAGAAGAGGAGCGACACCGTATTTACCCGCAGTGTGAACGGGTTTGTGATCGATTCTGGTTTCACCATCTGCTTTATTTCCTCACGCATCTCTGCCTTTCTCTGGCTCAGAGTTCAAAGCGGCAGCTGTTTGTGCATTTTGTGGGGTTTCGGTCCTTGATCATATTAAAGATGAGTTTGATTAAATCTGCACACATCTGCTGGAGAAACGACACGTTGAGAATCAGACAGACGTGTTCCTGTGGGCATTGTGGGTAATATAGACGTGATGTCAGGCAAACCAAGCTGTCAGTCTGTGACAGAGAAGAGCCTCACAGCGCTGCTCCATGACCAGACCAGACGTCAGAAAACATGCGCCCGCGGGCCTCACGTTGCAGCTCCGTGATCAGGCCCTTTGTCCATCAGCAGCAGCTCCAGGCTCTTAAAGCCGCGGCCCGCTGCTCGTTACTGAGCTGTCAGACGGAGCGACCCGCCGGGAGGAGGTCAGTCGCTTCAAGCCCCGTTTCTGCACAATACAGGATTCAGAGAAAGGGACTGAGCAGAGCTTGCCTCCACACTCCCATCATGTAACCTGAGGAAACAACACATACTGATGGAAAAACCATGATATCCAAATGATTACCATGCAATTATTTGCATGCAGTGTTGGGGGTAACACATTACAAGTAACTCGAGTTACGTAATCAGATTACTTTTTTCAAGTAACCAGTAAAGTAATGCATTACTTTTTCAAATAAGTAATGCCAGCTACTTTGATTCCCATGTATTGACTGACAGCTCTCCTGTCCTCATGCTGAGAGAATCAGGAGTGAGTGCAGAGCGCTGTGTGAACATGATGCTACTGTAGATCTAGACTAAACATCAACTGCATTTACTCTCACTCGCAGATTCAGTATTCCTAGAAAAGAAAAGAAACCCGCAAAAATTAAATCTGTTAAATAACACAAATATACTTTGTATTAAATCTCACTGCTGACCTTTGATGGTCCAATTCAACCATTCAGATCAGCAAAAGTGACTTTAGTTGAACATCAAATTTGTGGTTTTCTTTATTTATTGCTGAAATAAGAGTGTTATTGTAATGCAAATGTAACACAACACATTATTTCACATAAAAAGTAATAAATGCAGTTAGTTACTTTTGTAGAGAGTAACGTCATATTGTAATGCATTACTTTGAAAAGTAACTTTCCCCAACACTGCTAGCATGCAATCAAGATACTTAAAATAATACCAAAGTAAGTGCATGTGATCTGGTATTATCACGGTCACATGCAAATACATGTTTCTGTCGTGGCACTTTCTGTGTGTTTGCTCTGTGTTTTCAGTCTCTCTGCTGTTTGGATTCTCTGCTCTGTCTGACATCAAGCCCGAGTGTTATTGTGTATCGTTTAATAAGAGATTTCTCTCGCTCATCTTTACTGATAATGTTTTTCGTCTTCTTCTGAACGACAAACATTCATTTCCTTTCATCAGACAAATAGCCAGAGAGATGTTCAAATGGATGCTGAAGAGCTGCTGGGAATTCTGATTCCTGAAGGGCAGAAATACCCGATGAATCTCATTTCTTTATTTTGCATTAATTCAGTTTCTGCTGCATTTGAAGTGCAAATAAGAGTCTCTTCAGGTCATACGTCTGAAAATAGACCGCAGATCTGCTTCGTTACAGCCTTTATAGGAACTAGAATGATTCCATTTATCTGATAAATTTCACAGCAGTAAGACTTGTGTGTTTTCACCTGGTCAGGACCGGCTTTGACTTTAGCAGCTGAAATGGAGTAATGCAGGAAAGTACTGGTTCCTCATGATTTTCTTCTCACAGGTCAGTGATAACGGCTATTCTCACTGTTCAATCGTTTTGTCACAATAACTGCTGACGAACATCAGCTATATGTAGCTAATCACATCACAGACGCTCGTGGAACTCAACACGACGTGACACCCGGATCACAGTGTAGATGACTGAATGGATGAATGTAAGCAAACAGATGTAAGAAAGATCAGCCCGTTATCTTATTAGTGTGTCAGTGCTGAGACCCGGACAGACCGCGCGAGATCCGTGTGTCCAAATAAAGCATTCAGGCCCTTCAGGTCGCTGAGAGATGACTGTGTGCTTTCAGGAGTGTTTTAATGGTTCGTAGAACAAGGCATAAATGCAGCACACTGTAAGCAGTCATTGTGTCTTGTGTTCGCATGGCTGAATCTCCTGTGAAGATGTTACCCAAACCGCTCCGATTCCTCGAGATCCTGAAGCCCTCTGTGAGTTTGTTTGGAGACAGAGAGAATCTCGTAGAAAGAAAGCTTTTCTCTGTGGCTCCATGGGAAATCTGTTAGACTTTACACACAGATCATATGAAACGCCTGAGATCTGACCGTTAGAAACATTAATGAGTGAATGTGTGATTTGTTTTCTGTTTGGGTCCCATTTTACTGTGTAGAGACGATTTCTTGCTAGGGTTGGGAAAACAGAACCGATCCCATTTTTATAGAAATACCGGAAGCAAATGATGTTCAGCTCTGTTATTAACTGTTAATCTGTGCATCGCTGTCAAATACTCAAATGTTATCATTCAGCTCTAATCTGCTAAAGGCATGAAGATGTTAGCATATTATAAACATTACATATGATGATTTAGTGTAAAGGTGCTTTGAAACAATGTGCACTGAGAAAAGAGCTCTACAAATAAAATTGACTTGACTTGAGAGTCCGTGAGTGAATCTGAAACAACAAAATATGAGTTATACACGTGCACCAAAGCAGAAATGTAGCTTATTTTATCAATGCACTTACATTATTCTGTTAAAGTCATGTATTATTCAAGCTGTAAATTAGTTTTTGTCATTTTATGGTTTTGGGCATCATGCCAACAGAGGTTAGTAAATAATTTGTCACTAAAATCCTGCATATTGTTTGTCTTGTGACTATATTGTTGAGCATTTTATTGTTGTCAGATTGTCTCGTTCATTTAAGCATATCTGCTATCCTTCATAAAGAGACTCGCTGTTCCTCCTCTGGTCCGATAGGAGAGACTCCAGCAGAGCGGCGACCCGGAGCCCGCGGCTCGCTTTGGGCCTCAGCGCGTCATAAATCAGGCCTGCGGCGCTGGATCAACATAAATTGCTTATTGATCTAAAAATCACCAGATATCCCACTTTCTGCCTCCAGTCTGCATCTGTTCATGAACTTCAGTTTCCCAGTAGAAATGAGAGTTTGTATGAACTGCTTGAGATTTCATTGCACACTGATGCAGAAGTAGAGAGGTGAGGTTCAGATCTGATGTATTCTCACTGAAAGAGCCACGTAAAGTCTGCTTGACACTGGCTAAACTGTGAGGAAGATGTTTTTATTTTTGAGTTAAACCGCTGGCTGTTTTAGTGAGGGCAAACACAGAAAGCTGCAATAAGGGTTGATATAAAGTCGGAGACAGCCTGATTGAAAACAGGCTGACCTTTAACTCCAACAGCCTTGAACAGAAGCAGCTCCACATCGATTTAATGCGTCAGGTTTTAGTATGATGAATGGCACATGTAGTCACATATATCAACAATGTGCAGCCATTTCTAAACTGTTTATATCATAAAGCGTCCTGAAGAGCTTAGACCCGTGCACAGAAACCGATTGTTACAACACTCGCTTTAGTCGATTGTTTGTCATTCGTGAGTTAGGGTTTGATGACGTTTGTTGTCTGTTTTTTTTCTGTTCATCTCTATCATCTCTCCCTTCATTCTGAAGGTTTCAGTTCAGTCTTTAGCGTACGGAGATGAAATGTACACAGATTATTGTTCCTGCAGCTCTCGGCTGCGTTGTAGATTTGAGAAAATGGTTCTGCAGACTCATGTCGTTTGAGACACTTTAGACTAAAGTTTGGGAGTCCAGAGCTTCATTAGAGAGAATGACGGAGCTCCTCCGACTCGCCATGTTTTCAGTATCATTAGCAAATGTGTCTCAGTTCCTCGGCCAATTAGACTCGTAAAACCGTGTGTGAGAGGAAGACGAGTATGACATCTTCCTCAGAAATGCCAGCGCGGTCATTATGAGAAGCACTTTATAATAAAAACATTTTCTGCTCTTCTCTTTAATTGAAAGACTTTAGGAACGAGGGAACAGTGCTGTCGCGTTAGGAATAATTTTATCTTTGAGAATGTCATGAGCTGAAAACTGATTCCACGTCAGGGAAATACTTCATCTGCTTCATTCTTCAAATCTGTCAGTTTTAGAAACTTTCATTATTTAGTGGTTTTCATGTTGATCCGTTTCATCAGTGGATTCAAGTTTAAACCTGCAGACATTGAATAAACACTGATCTTCAGTGGGAAAGAGTTCAGCTGAATATCGACGCATGCGTAGCACAGAAATGGCAGTCTCTGTGTGTGTGTGTGAGTGAGTGTGAGTGTGTGTGTGTGTGTGTGTGTGTCATTCACTTCAAACTGTGCATTTGCTCTGGCACACTATGTTTGGCTTTAATTTGCACCGGCCTTTATCAGTAATGCAATAAAATCCAGTTTATTTCATTAGAGTTATAATTTATTTATATTTGATTTATTTATATTTCATACAACATAGTTTACTGACACTAATACAGTAACATACAGTTGCAAACAAATTATACATGAGTAAAATGCATAGAACTTACAAAAATACATTTTATGAGCGCTCATGAAGACTTTTATTAATCTGACAGACAGTCACGAAGACAGTAAAGAATGAATGCAGCAGACATCATTACATACCATAAATAACAAACAAGTTAAACAAAAACCAAGACAGTATTTATTCACATACATATGTTCCTGTGAGTCAGGAGTTCATATTGATGATGATTATTAGTGCATATGTCTCTAGTGCAAATATCTACCTCACAGCATTTAACTTATTGCACTTTAACTGAATTTATTGCACATTTTAAAATATATATTTAAAATTCCTATGTTTATGATGTTTGAGCACACAAAATACATATCCACTCTAATAAACACAGTATTTCTACACACAGTCTGTGCTTTCACACAGATATTCACATTCATATGC